AACCTTTCCACACTCATGATGAGCAGATACATGTGCATGCAGACTCTCGGCAATTACACTACTGTACTAAATAGAGACCACTACAGGGACACATGATCCACCAGAGCATTGCGCGGGCGAGCGGGGCGATTCCTACACATCCACCGCGACAGGAGAGAAGAACGGCAGTGCAAGCTGAACGGGGTTGAACATGGGCGCGTTGCTACAACAGCAGTGTGGTACGCATACATATGCATTGGAAAAAAGGTCTCCTCCAGCAGTGGCGGTTCCATCTAGGGAAGACCTGGGCAAGCTCGCTGCCCTGTGCAAGAAGACGTGCACGCCTCTTCCGATACGGAAACTTCATTTGCAGGGGGAAACAGCGGTTGGCGCAAGGTTAAGGTTATGCAGACATCGGACAAATCCACCCAAGGGAGGTGAAGTTGCTGCCTGGTGCAGATATTTGCACACTCTGTACCCCCCCAAGTATTTCAGTGTGAACTGACCGATCTTGTGTGCTGCTCGCGGCTGTTGAACAAAAAAAACGGCTGACGTTTGCGCGAGGCTATGCTACCCCTCCGCACATCGACAAGGGACGCCGCACAAGCAGGCGCAGTGTCAATCGTGGGGCAGAACAGAACAACATCTCTGCCGCTGCTGTGCATGTGGTGGTGTGTGAACGCGATTGGGTATTTTGCCGAAAAGAAGAAACCGGCTCTTGGCAAGTTTTCCCATCCTCAATGAGTCCCCTTCAATCCAATCAGCCTCCTCTGCTTCTGAGCGAGAAGAGCGCGATCAAACCCAAGCTTAACTGTGCCCCATGCATGCCAACAAGAAGCCCGCGCTTGATCTTCCACTGCGGCAACAGCGTGGAGAGATCCTATGTTTGATACATATATGATCGTTGTTGCCTACTTGTTGCTGTTCTTCGGGGGGGTCTGTTTGTTGATGTTGCAAACAGCACAGAGGTTCTCATGTATGATGTGCTTGATGTGTGTGTGTTGGTTGGTTGCGTCAATCTAGGGGGGACATTTCGCTCCAGTGCGACAGGCGCGAGCCGACAGGACGGCAACAGGTACACCCTCATTGCTGTGGTGCACCTATCCGCGGTGCGGATCGACAGAGTATCCACAGATCATGGGGATGTTCTGAAATGGCGCAAATCTGCTGAAGCTTCAGCAACCAAAAATGGATGGATGCATGTACGTTTTCTCGCAACAAACTTGGGCTCAGCGCTTGGCGATGCCGGAAACGGATGCAAAGGCCCAACTACCTAGAGGATATGCGGCATGCCTCCGGTTGCTACCACCTCGGAACTCCGTAGAAAAAGACCGCGTCTTCCATATCCAGCAACAAAAGTCGTTCGAGAAAGCGGCGAGCTTTCCGCGAGCGAGAGCAACAACACGCATGTTGAAGCAGACGCACTGGGAGACGAAAACAGCGTGGGCTATGCTTGCGGGAGTGCGCGAAAGCCATACCCAAAAGAAGCAATAGGCCCTAGAACTCTACGCTCACCTCCGCAAGGTTTCTTCGCTGGACGTGTGTAATACTCGTGGTTCTGCAAGAGTTGGCTCGCGGGAGTGCGCGTGCGCGGGCTCTATGGCGGGGGACTTCGGGCTGCGACTTGTAGGGGTCCATTCGGTGTATCGTTGATTCCACGGAGATCTTCGTTGCCTGCTTGTCATTGTGTCACCTGTGTCCTGCGCGGTGCACGTGCTGCTGGTGAGGTCACCCGCGCAAACACCATGGGTGTGCTAATGTGTGTCGTGATCATGGCCCTGTCGGCGCTTATCGCCCTCTTGACCGAAGGTGAGAATTGGAATGCCTGTTTGACTGCTGTACTCTGTCGTTACAAGGACGTCATTTACCCACGTGTGCTAACAACTACATAGCAGCAGAGCTCTTTTGCGGCTGTGTGACTCGCTCTTTCCCAAAATGTAACACCAGCACGGAGAGTAGGTAGCACTAGTATCGACAACTGAAAGACCTGCGCTGGTAGGTTATCCCTCCATGCAAGGGCCACGAATCCCATGGAAACGGCAAACCTACTGCAACACATCAAAGGTTTGGCTCCAACTGCTGTACATTGTAGTCTACAAGTAACCCGCTTTTGTCTTGTGTGCAACGACGACTCCTTCTTGACCAATGACCCTTGTTGCGCATCACACGTATGCATGGTGGGGATCATCGGTAGGGCGCTTCTTCTTCCTGGTTGGTCTTTCCAAGCAGCCCAGAACGTCTAGTTTCTTCTATGCGTAATCACCATACTCTGCTGCCCCCACGCGGCTGTGTGGTCGTCACGTACAGGTCACCATCCCCTTTTGTTCCATAAACTTGTCTTCCAAACGGTTTTGGACCCGGTGGGTATTGGAAAGCCCATCTGTCCTATTGAACGCGGTTCATGAAATTCGATGCTTATCATGAGGTTTTCAGTAGGCACGCCCTGAGCTTTCCGCAAGCGTGCTGCTGCTGTTGCTGCTACTGCTACGGCTGCTGCTGCGGTGTGCCTTGAGAACAACCGTCAATCTCCTCCCCTTTCTCCCGCGGCCTGCGTCCTGCCTATTGTGCTGCTCGCTCGGTTCGCCCCCTCCCCCCTCTCGACGTCTCAGCGTATTCCTGGTACACGGTGTACAGAAAACCCGAGTATCAGAGGCTAAAGCGTCACATCGAGAATCTCGTCAAAGACGGTGAGTGAGTGTGCACGCTTTTCATCCGCCGTAAGACCTCAACAACAGTACTGCTGTAGCGCCGGTGCCAAAGTCACGTAAGCCTCCACCGGCCCCTTTCCCCGACTACCGTCTTCCACACAGGATAACGCCGCTATGTACAACGGATACCAGTCACCCCACGGAATACCACACGATGATACTCTGAAAGGCCAAAGATATTTCACCGGGGGTGTTTTCTTGTGTAAAATGCGGTATTTTGCTGCTCTCGCGTTGGACCATTTAAACTCTACACGCACGAAGGCTAGAGGCCCCCCCAATGCCCACGGAGAGGCTGGCGGATAGAACCCATACAGCCCGTAGATGCGGGGATGGGGAGGCGAACAGAGATTGGATGGCGAGAAACATGTGGAGCATTATTTGTGAAAAGGAGAACGAGGATAAATCGGTTGGTGATACGGAGCGATTTGTCGTGTAAGAGGCGCTTGTTCTTGTGCTTTTTTTTTTATGCCGTGACTGACCGAAACCGATTCCGGTTTGCGCTCTCAATATGTACACGTGGCGGGATGGGAGAGAAGAGAGAGTGTTTGCGACCCCCGAGATTCCTAAAGATACCCTGAGAAATACCATGGCAGTGAACGTCCAACGAGGCAAGCAAGTGCGCGATGGACGCCGGAGTCAACTATTTCGGATGATGGACGTGAATGTGGGAACAAGTAGGGCTGCAATACAGGATCTCTATGGTCCACGAGGAAGCAGAGCAGGGGTGATGACGGTCGATTGGTAGATATAAAGATGAGTGCAGGACTTAACAGAAACCTTTTTTCAATACCCCGTGTCTGAGGATGAAGAGATTGTCACAGCTCTTATTGTGGTACGAATTTGATCCCCCGCCCCCGCTAACTGCTCCTCGTTGCCCCCCTTCTTTCTCCGCGGCCAAACGAGATCAGAAAGAAATAAGAAGCTAAAACTGGTTCTCGTTTTAACGATTTTTCTCTCTGTGTACGAAAGGTGAACCCACGCCCACACACCGAAAAACAACCCCACCAATATTCGCGCATCATGGTCTTTTCTACCCCGCTTGCTGATACCTCTATTCTCGATAAGCAGCAACAATAACACCGCGAATATCCAACACCCCTACAAACAACAACGCCTTTAACTCTGTAAACGCGCAGTCGAGAAGAAGAAGGCGGAGCCGGTAGGCGGCAGCGTCGAAAGGAAGGTTAAGAACCTAAAGGCGCTCAGCCGGCTGGAGAAGGACCTTGCAGAAGCCACGAAGGACTTGCAGGCCC